AATCTTCCTGCTGTAAAAATGGAGAATAAAAAGAAGTCAGAGCTGACTTTCTGCTGTTTGAAACTGTTTTGTCAGCTGTTTACAGACATCACTTTGAAATGTGTGTCTATCAGGTCATATTTACTGAAGCTTCTTCCTTCATATGTTCTGAAGTTTTACAAACACCAAAGAAGAAGAGACAGGAATTCTCTGAAACACTTTTTGTTCTGTGAGAAAAGAAACATTACAGCACAAAAACATGAAGACAAATTGAACAAAGTGAAATGTGTCGGTCGCTGCTTTGAACATGTTTCAATCCTGATTCCTTCAAACTGACTTGTTGTAACTGAACGTCATCACAGACTGCAGATGAAGAGAGTTCAAGCACAGCTGTTCATTCAAAGGAGGATTTCTGCTTTTCTTTACATTCAGTTTGTGGGGCTGTTGGAAAATAGCTCAGCTCATGTATTGCTGATCTATCTTCCAAAACATCAGTGTTTCACTTCTAAATAATAACTCTGGAATAGAAACAAACTAATGTCTCACGTTTGTGTCAGCGCTGATCCGTCCACCCATTCCCATTCATATCCTCCTGATGTCTGTTTAGCTTCCAGACCAATCCAGGAGTATCCTCCAAATTCATTGACAAATTCCTGTTTGAGAAGAGACACAAATATTGTCTCCAGTCATAATTCAGCACTTCTGTTGTAGTGACATCATCTTGTGAACATGTCTGAAGGAAGAATAACTGTGATGAAACTTTTCTTCCATTGTGCAGAAATCAGAAAGAGCCAAAGAATCGATGAATATCAGCTCCTCCTGTAGCTCAGTCAGTGTTGCAGTGGAATCAGTGTTAACAAATCATTTGATTCAGTTGGATTGAATCAGAAAAATAATCTGGATTATGAGGATTTCTCTCATTTTATAACATTTCTGTTATTTCAATGTTTTGTGTTGACTTGGTTTCTAAGGATCATCTGAACTGGTTCCCATTTAATCCTGGTTCTTTAACTGCTTTGAATTCCTCTCCTTCATAATTCAATGTGAATCTCCAGTTTGCTGTATTGTAATCGATCCACCTCCCAAATCCTGCAATCATTTCCTGAATGGATTCTCTAATCTTCTCTCATCTGTTATTGTTCATAAAGTCATTTTAGTAGATGACTCTAATTTACTTATTGATGATCCCTCTAACAACACTGCCACACAATTGATGAACACTGCAGCATCATTTCATGTAGTGCATCATGTTGTCGGCCCCACACATAACGCTGACCTTCCACATGTCTGACCTACTATCCAATCACAGATGTATCATCTTTGACAGGCTTACAGTCAGTGTTGTCTTCCCAGAGACAAACTGCTGTCACTCCCATGTCTTCTAATGACTGTGGACATTTTTAGATTTCTTCACTGGCAACATCAACAGTATCAGGTCAGAGTTCAAGTCTGTACCTCTTCAACCGCCCCAAGTCTCTCCTCCAGTTCTGTTGTTGGAGTTCAAACTCCTTCCTGCTGCCATCTCCCCCTGACTTCTCTCTATTAGAAACCAGTCCCTTTCATTTCAGCTGACTTTCAAACAGCCAGAGTCTTTGTGAGTGGGATCAACCCTCCTTACATCCCACTGTTTTAAATCAAGTTGCTCGTCAGCTCCTTCAGATCTTTGATCAATTCCAACCTGGTTCCAGACAAACCACAGCACTGAAACAGCTTTCATGAAAGTTACTAACCAGATTCTTCTGCGCTGGGATAAAGACTCCATTTGAGTCCTGCTTGACTTCTCTGCAGCCTTCATACTGTTGATGGTGCTCCTCTTATTAACACAGTCAAAGGAGCTTGCAAAGAAAAGCGTCTGGACTTCTTTAAGTTACTTGAAGACGTTTCACCTCTCATCCGAGAAGCTTCTTCAGTTCTAAGGTCAAATGGTGGAGAGTCCCAGATATAAACCTAGTGGGAGTTTCCCCCCACAGAGGGACAAAAGGACCCCCTGATGATCCTCTAATCGCCTGAGCCAAGGTGTGGAACTGGGTGTGGGCCCCAATCAGCCAGAGTTTCGGGTGGGTTCATTGTGACCAAAGACCACAACATCACTGTTTTACCAGCTGATAAGGGAAGATGCACCGTGGTCCTAAACACTACAGATTACCACACAAAGATCACTACTCTCCTCAGTGACAACAATACCTACGAAGCCTTAAAGCGAGACCCCACAAGCAGCTACAAAAAGAAAGTTATAGCTCTCCTTCAAGACTTTGAAAAGGACAAAATTATTGACCGCCTCACATATCACCGCCTTTACCCAGGGGATGCCATACCCTGCATCTACGGACTTCCTAAAATCCACAAGGAAGCGGTCCCACTCAGACCCATAGTCAGTAGCATAAACTCAGCCACTTATAACATTGCTAAACACCTTGCTACCATCCTTGCTCCTCTCGTGGGGAACACCCCACACCACATCAAGAACTCCACCGACTTCACCGACAAGGTCCAGAAACTTACCCTGGATCCACATGAAACCATGGTGTCCTTTGATGTAGTCTCTCTCTTCACTTGCATACCCACCACAGAGGCCGTGGAGACTGTCAGAAAACGACTACAAGAAGACAGCTCCTTGGAGGAAAGGACCAACTTCACAAGAAAGGCTCTTGGCTCTTTCAAAGGAAGAGTACCCAGCCACTGGTACAGATATGTGGACGATACCTGGGTCAAAATCAAGACACAAGAAGTGGAATCCTTCACTGCGCACATTAACGCTGTGGATAAGAACATCAAGTTCACCAGGGAAGACACAAAGGACAACTGTTTGCCTTTCCTGGACTGCGCCGTGCACATTGAAGAGAACGGCAACCTCAACATCGAAGTTTACCGGAAGCCCACACACACGGACCAGTACCTCCTCTTTGACTCCCATCACCCTCTGGAACACAAACTTGGAGTAATTAGGACCCTACACCACCGGGCAGAACATGTTCCCTCTAAGCCTGAAGGAAAAAAGAAGGAACACACACATGTAAAGGAAGCACTCAAAACGTGCGGCTATCCTAAATGGGCGTTCTTAAAGTCAGCAAAGAGGCAAAGAAAAGAAGATCAGACACCAGCGAGGGAGGACAAGAAAGACAGACGCAACAACATTGTCATCCCCTATGTAGCCGGTGTATCAGAGGAACTCAGGAGAGTTTTCTCCAAGCACGACATCACAGTGTACTTCAGACCAAGCAACACACTCAGACAGAAACTGGTTCACCCAAAAGACAAAACTCCTAAACACAAGCTTAACAATGTGGTGTATGCTGTACAGTGCAGCGAGGAATGTCCAGACCTCTACATTGGAGAGACCAAACCACTTCACAAGTGCATGGCACAACACAGAAGAGCCACCTCCACAGGACAAGACTCAGCAGTCCATCTGCATCTTAAGGATATGTTCACATTTTGGACAGAGAGGACAGATGGTTTGAAAGAGGGGTGAAAGAAGCATCTATGTTCACTGTGAGCGACCATCTTTGAATATCAAACAGATACTTCATATTAATCAATGTGTGTCCTCATCTGAGTCCCACATGCCTCAGTCCTTGGACCAGTTCTGTTCTCTTTATAAATGCTGCCCCTGTGACATCTGCTTAATGGTTTTAATGGGATCTCCTAGCACTGCTGTGCAGATGACACACACACTAATGCTTTTCTGTCGAGCCTCTCCTGCCTCAGTGAATGCTTCTCTGTCATCACTTCATGGATTTAAACTTCCTTCATCTCAAACTGAAGTTGTGCTGTTTGGCTCAGTTCCTCTGAGGAGGTCAGTCAGTACATCGTCCCCCCACCAGTAACATCCAATCACCTGTTAAAGATCATTTTGAACCAACAGCTGCATTTTGAGCCTCACATGTCAAAGGTCAGCCAGTCTTGTTTCCTTTAGCTCAGAAATATTGCAAAGATCAAATCTTTACTGTGATTCAATCATCTGGAACTTTGAGTTCATACTTTCTCCTGCCTGATTATTGTAATTCACTTTTCACCTGCATTTCTCAGTCCTCCATAGTTGGTCTGCAGTTAGTGCAGAACTCAGCAGCAAGGCTGCAAACAAAACCTGGCCTGCAGTCTCATATCTCACCTATTCTTGCTTCTCTTCACTGGCTTACAGTGAAATTCAGAATCCTCTTTTAAATCCTGTTATGAACATATAAAGATGTGCATGAACAGGCCCCTGCTTATATAGCAGAGCTTCTTGGACCTTATCACTGCAGCCGGCCTCTCTGATCATCTAATCAGCGTCTCCCAACTGTCCCTCGCTCTGATTTGAACACCAGAGGCCATCGTGCTTTTGAGCTTGTTGCAGCCAAACTGTGGAACAGCCTTCCTCAGACTATCAGGTCAGCTGACTGTTAACGGCTGAAACTCATTTTTACAGGTTAGCTCTCCCTCAATCTTTTCCCCTTTATTTTCCTCCATAGTTTCTAACTGTTGTGTTTCTGATGGAATGAATGTGCTGCTTTGTTTATGTGTCTGTATGTTTGCACATGTATACTTATCATCAATGTGTGGCTTTAATTCACAGTATGAAGAACTTTGTAACTCACTGTCAGCTCCATCAAAGATCACACAGACATGAACAAACACACCCACCTGTTCCTCTTTGCTGGTTATCATCACCAGATCAGCTCCTTTATCCTGACAGGCTCTCCTGCTGTCAGACCAAGTTTTCCACTCAGTGTATTTAAAGTAACAGCTGCTTCCAAATCTCGTCCATTCTTCTGGACACCACTTCTCTTAAAGTCAAACACATGTTTTAAAGTCAGACTTTGTGTCCTGTTGTATCACATTAATCTTTGGTTCCTGTCATTTTCCCTGTAAATGCTTCATTTAAACTCAGGTTTTCTCTCTTATTCATAATGAACTGAAACTTACATTTATACAGAGAAACTGTTACACAGCATCAAACATGTAGGATTCAAAACAAAGACACAATCAGGTTATCACTGTGTAACACTGATGTTTTCTATCAGTTATTCAAACTTTATTACCTTCTATCTTCTCCTTCAGCTTCTTCACTTCTTCCTGTAACTGACTGTTGAGTCGTTTTGTTTCTGTAGAAAAAAACATGTTAAAAATGTAAATATAAATTTTATCTGACATTAGTATTTTCTTGTTAATTTTAAATACTTTCTTACCTTGATGTTCAGTCTGTAGCTCGTTGTAACTGTGGTTCAGTTTATTGTGTTTGAAGTGAAGTTTGTTGTTTTCACTCTTGTTCAAAGCATCTGAAATATTTCAGTGAAACCAAAATAAAATAAAATAAAATAAAATGAGTGAAACGTTGAACAGAAATAATCTTCTTCCTCTGCTTTGTCAAATATCAATAAGAGTCAGAAACTTGTAGCCATTGTTCTTTAACATGTCCTGTGGGTGGAGGTGTTAGAACTACAGGAAATCTGATGAGCTAAATACGTATCAACTGTGAACAAAAACCACTGACAAGATTCAGAATAATTGTGCTTCAGTGTGGAGGAAGAAGGTGAAGAGTCAAACAGCATTTCTACACCTGCAGTCAGAGATGTTATCTATATGCTTTGAAAGAATAGATTCTGACTCATGTGACATGTGCCTGTTCTCACTGAAAATATGTCTTTTTACATTCAGTCAAAGCTGCTCTGAGGCTTCAACACTTCCTCTTTCTGCTTATTTATAATTAATAAATGTTTCTTCCTGCAGCTTCCAGGAACTTCCTGCTTTCAGACGTCCTTTTGCAGGCGTCTCTGTTCTCACATCATAGATTTGTGATGTTTCTGCTGATCCAGCATTAAGTCTGTCACAGCTCCACCAGGAGCTAAAGGTCAGCTGAAGATCATCAACTGATTTAAAACATAGAATCAAACCACCTTAAAATCCAAACATCAGCAGCTGCTGGAAGTTTTCTCTGTGTTGTTGTTTTTGTTATTGTGGAGTCTTTACCTGATAATATAAAGAACCTCGAGGCAACTGTTGTTGTGATTTGATGTAATAAAAAAAGATTCATTGATATATCCCAGCAGATGAATGGAGCTAACATTAGCTTGTTAGCTACCTGCTTAATACACCAAGTGAACTAACTAGTCGCACAATGACAGACGGCCACTGTCTAACATAGTGTGGCTGCACCTGCATCAGTCTGCAGCAGATGCTGCTGCCTGTCTGCTTTGTTGATGTAATCACAGAATCACCGTGTTGAGTGAAGAGTTTGAAGGAACAACAAGAACATTCACTCCACAACACACACAAGATATGAACCAGGAATCATGCACACAGACACACACCTGCTAATCAGTGCTAAGTAACAGACTGATGAAATACTAGAAGCTCAGTCAGCAAAACCAACGTGTTGGTCAGGCTGTACCACACAGCAGCTCATATTATTGATCAGAGAATTCCATTTAAAATGCCACCGTGCAGTTTTTATGAGGCTTCATGTACTTCCTGTATTTGCTGTGGCAGAAGGACACGTTCTGGTTGTGAAGCTGCATGTTTGTTGGCTGCTGGGATTCAGTATCAGTCATACATTCATTTGCAGGAGAAGTTCAGAGGTTGTATCTTATCTTACAGCATATGGACAGGATGATGATCCCAGCTAACATCAGGAGGCACAGCACTCTTAGACCCAGTGTAGCACATCTGAAAGAGCCCTTCAGGACTGAAGGAGGATTCAGAGTCTGTGGTCCTGTTAGAAAGCAGTGTGGATGTTGGTCTGTGCTTATTTCCTGTCACTCTGTGATTAACAGACCTGTGGTTGTGGTTGTATCAGCTTAGCGTCAAAAAAGGGCCGGTTGCCAAAAAACAAAGGAAATATAACATCTGCACTGTGACTGAAAGAAGTTCCTGTTAATCAATAAGTGACTTACAAACTATTGTGGGAAAGAATTTAAATTAAAAAGGTTCATACAGCAAATGGAGAAACAGATGTTTGGTGGGCTGCAGTAATTTGGCATTAAAAGCTGACTGTAACAAACTGGAAGTACATTTAGATTCATAATTGACTTACCTCCTTCCTGCGACTGAAAATGATCATAACTATCTCTCATCTCATCTGCACTCTCGTAGATATCCACCTCCCTCTGCTCCCACTCTGCTCCGTCCTGCTTTCTGCTGTATCTCACCTTCTTTGATAGATCTGGTTTGGCATAAATATCTGAGGACATGTTGAGAGGACTGAGACGCTGAGCAGGAGTTTAAGCTGTACTCTAACAGTTCTGCAGTACTGACCCTGGTAGATATCGAGCTGTTTTATTCTTGTCCAGCCTTCTGTCTGCTTTCAGGCAGGAAGAAGCTTTGAGGAAGTGGCAGCGTCTAAGGAAACACAGACCGTGTGATTAATTTGCATAAAAATTTCTTAACTGCATTTTGTGTTTCTCTTAACTACAGATAAAACTCTGTGTTGTACAATATGTGTACTTTGTTGAGCTTTTGACTGAGTTTGCATAAAGCAGAAAATGTATAAACTCTTCTTTTTCTAAAGACGTTGAACGTTCACACATAAAAGCACAAACACAGTCACACCTCAGTGTCACAGTTGGTTCGACCCAGGAAATGTTATTTTGTCAGTTACAGTTTGTTTTCTTGCTGTTGCCTTATAGAGAAACAAACTGTAGAACTGTTGAGGTTCATCCAGTCGATGTGGAAAGTTTGAACCACGTCTCAAACACTCTTTAAATGAACAACAGTTAAATTTAGCTTCACTGCTGACCGAAGATTTTAAAGTTTTTTAAACTGTAACTTTTCCTTTCAATTCTACATTTTGCACTTTCAGGAAAACTGATGCAGTTCATTTTTTGAGATCTTTGATTTGATTTTCAAAGGAATACAGAAGTACTTGTGTGAAAAAGTGTCCAACATAAGGAGGAAAAGTTTTTTGAAATTACAGTGCACTTAAATGTTGCACATCTTACTGTGAGGTCACCAGGAAATACTCCTTGTTGTTGGGCCGTCCTGGTTAACACACCTCTGCAACATTACATGAGAGTCGGGCACTCGGCCTCTGGATTTGTAAATCTGGGCTGGTGGGTTCAAACACTCCTCAGCCTCCCTGAGAATGTTTATGTCAGAATATTGAAGGAGAAACTCCATCCAATTGTGAAATCTCAAATTCAGAGCAACAATGTGGTTTCCATCCTGGTCATGCAGCACTGGACGAGCTCTTCATTCTCTCCAGGATGTGTGGGAGTGATGAGCCCAGCTGGAGCTCCTCCACACTGAAAGCACCTGACTAGGATTACACCTGTGTGCTACTTAGGTGTTGGAGGTTTGTCCAACTGGAGGACACACGTTGTCTTAATCATTCAATTCAGTTTGACTTCTACAGCTCCAAATCACAGCAACAGCCTCAAGGTGCTTTATGTTGTGAGGTCGACCCTACAATAACATTACAGTAACAAGTTTGCTGTTTGTGTGTTTTCCAGTGAAGTAGGAGAAACTCTGCAGTGTGGGAACAGGAACTAAACACAATCAGGTCTGCAGCATCAAATCATTTCACTTCTAATGTTCAAAATCAAACATCTAACATATTGGAATCAAATTCCTCACAGCGTGTCATGATTCCCACCACAATCAGCAGATACAGCACTCCCAGGTTCACTTCAAAAGCTCTGAACCAGCTTCTTCTCACAGCTGGAAGCTTCTTCTCGGTGTGAACATCTACAAAGATAAAACAAAAAGTCCATTTATGAAGCACTAATGAGAGACTTTGGAGCTTTTTATTAATCCTCACTGTAGGAATGATCCCAGTAGAAAGTAAATCAGATTTACCAAACAAATTAGTCGAGTTTGTTAAAAAGTTACAGGAACTCAAACAAGGACAAAGTAACATTAGTCCATTCCAGCTGTTGTGATCGGTCGGTGCATTTCTGGCCACTTCTTGGTCGCAGCTTTTGAATAGATCAGTGAGAGAAAAACAATCCTCCTCTCAATATAAGGACTAAATGAGCAAAACTATCCTGATGGACGTGAGGGAACGTAGAAAGAAGTGTAGAAACCTGAGGGACAAATATGGAGGAGAGTCCCAGAATATTCGTTTCTATGACGATCATCTGCACGCGGGTCAGAGCTGTGAGGAAAGTGTAATGCTGAGGAACTGTCAGCGGTAGTGTCGTGGATGAGAGAAGGAGGACCCAAACGCTGGACTCACAGGCAGGTAGGTGAAGGTGGATGTTTATTGCCGAAGGAGCGAGCAAACAGTACAGAGGGAGGAAATGGCTGGCTGACTGAATGAATGAATGAATGAATGAATGAATGAATGACCAAAAGACTGACTGACTGAACATACAGACGACATCAGACTTACATCATCAATGACCCGACACTGAATGGGTAGAACAGAGGGCTTAAATACACAGGCTGGTGATAATGATGATAATGAGGGACCGGTGAGTACACAGCTGAACATAATGAACTAATGATAATGGGAAGAGGACTGAACATAATACACACAGACCAAGGCTAACACAATAAAACAGGAAGTGGAACAGGCAGTAGATAAACAGTGAGTGTGAACTGAAAACACTGGGTCACCGACCCAGGAACCCTGACAGGAACAACCATGAACTGTGGAAACTTTAAAGCTGATTTATAACAGAGTGGTGCTGGGTGTGTGTTACTCTGTGTTTGTGCTTCAGTTACACTCAGTTAGCTTTCTGCTAGCTGTTTCCATCAGTTTGCTTCTCTCCTCTCTACACTCACTCATACTGCATTTTGATGCAGCTGAACTCACAATGAATCTGCATCTTTCTGTTCCTGTTGTCAGACCACAGAACAACTATGAACTACTGATTTAAACGTGCTGCATTAACTACAGGGGGAAGCTGCTAACACACTGCAGCTGCATACCAAGCTGCTGCTCTGCACCTCTGAAAGACGCATTTTTGGAAGCACAACATTGTCGGACAAACTCGACATTCACATATGTTTAAAACAATGACTGTGTGGACAATCTGGCTGTATTTACAGTCATGTTATCACTTGGAGAGGAAGCAGAAAGAGCTGTGCTGCTCCTATTGGCTGCTTCTCTCTGCCACTCACAGACCTCTTCCTGAAAGCAGAGCAGCAGCTGAACCAGTTTGACTTGAAGCCACAGACACTGACACAGTCAGACGGTTAGAAACGGAGCTCCTAACTGGGAGTAAACAGGCCCAGTGCAACAAATGATCTGTGTGCCAGTTTGGACTGGAAACATATTCTGGGCACATGTGACACGAACACTAATATGTCTTAAAGTGGTCGGATATCAGAGCTTTAAAAGACACTGAACAACACTTTCATCATCAACATTTTCTTTGGTTTGGTCACTTTGATGATTTCCTGCTTACCAGCTTCTTGTAGGCCAACGTCAGGGTGCTGCTCTCCATCATCTAACACCTCCACCTCACTCTGCTCTCTCACTCCTCCATCCTCTTGGGACCCTCTGCTGTATTTCACCCTGAAATCTTCAACACTTTGAATTTCTGTAGACATTTTGAGCTGAAAGATCTTTGAGCAGCTTCACCGTCTGTCTGTGTCTTTAAGTCCGACAGTTTTGACGAGAAAACAAAGAGGAAGTAAAACAGGACGAGTCACAGTTCTTCTGACACGTCAGGAGGCGTCAGACTGTCAGTTATGTACAAATGAAAACAACATTCAACAAGATCTGAAGTTCAGTTACAAGAATGTAAAACACTGAAAGAAGTTTTGTTTTTAATATTTTCTATCACAGAGATAATAAGCTTTAACTCAGCAGCTGCAGTATGTTTATAATAACACGGCTTTGTTAGACGCTGCCTTCTACAAACTGTAAGTACATCGAAGCAGCAGAGAGAAGAAGTGTTTGTGACACAGGAAATATGTCAGAGTGAACTATTTATTCATCTTTATTTTTACCAGCACAGAAACTAACAGGGCAGCGTGGTGCTGCAGTGGTGAGCACCATCACTTCTCAGAAAGAGAGTTCCTGTTTTGGGTGGAGTCTTTCTGTGTGGAGGCTCATGGTCCTGGTCTGTGAGCCAGCGTTTGTGTTTGACGTCTGATTCTGGTTCATTTCATGTTCTGAGGTGAAGTTTTGGTCATGATTGTTGTGTCTCTGTTTGTGTCCCAGGTCTTAGTTTGTTATGTAGCCTCAGGTTTTGTGTTATCATCCCCCCTCTGTGTCCCCGCCCTCTTCCTGTGCTAGTATCTCTCTGTGAAGTCAGTCTTGTCTCCATGCTGATTGGCCTGTTCCCCAGTCGTGTCTCTGTTTCTCTCACTCCCTCTGTTCCCTGTGTTCAGTCAGTCTGTGTCTCAGTGTGTGTTTCTGCTGTTTCCTGTTTTACTCTGACAGTCTCTCGTCCTGTGTGCATCTTGTTTAGTTTTGCTTCCTGGTCTCGTTAGTTTGATTATGTTCAGCTTTGTTCCCACCTGTGATCTGTTCCCTTATTGTTTGTATTCATTGTCTGCATTCCCTTGTGTTGCTTGTTGTTGGGTCTGAACATACGACCCTGCTGGATTCAGACCACGAGAGACTGCAAACACAACACAAGAGCCACTGGTACGGTTTGCTTGCAAGGGGAGATTGCCTCCCAGAACTGACACAAGCTCCCTGTAGCCAACTGCAAACTCCCCTCGCAGCCTTTTATTCAGAGAACACACACTGTGAATGTGTTTGTATGTGTGTGTGTGTCTCTGTAAACGTGACTTCCTGCTACACAACATATGTTTACAACCATTTAACAACATCCCTATTCATAAAAGGGTCATCTCCCCCCACCCTGTATATGGCTTAACCCCCTTAATGGTCCACCATATACAAGCATAGGTGAGCCCATGAAGGGCAGGAAGTGGACGTTCCCGAGCAAATAAGGAAACCAGACTCTTTACATGGAATGTGCCTGCAGTTGAACACTATAGCTGTAGCCTCCCCCACCATCCTACATGCAGGGAGGAGAACAGAAACAAGAATATCTTCAATCATGCAGTTTAAACAAGGTTCACAATTTGAAGCACAACAATGACAATTTTTAACAAAGTCACTCCAACACTTGTCATGATCTCCCTCATCCCTCCGGCTGTGTGTTCCAGTTAGTGTTTCCTGGTTTACTTGTGATGCTTTTGTAATCAAGAACACCATAACTAGCGCAGCAGCCAGACCCTGAACTTCAGCAGGTAACTGATGAGCAGTCAGGCTGCAGCCTCCGTCTCCACCTGTTCATGCTTCTATGATAGAATCACTGGATAGACCCAGAACAAGCTGGAGAAATTAGATCTCTTGGCTGGCCTGGGAACACCTTGATGTTCCCTTGGATAAGCTGGAGGAGGTGTAACTTCCGAGTATCCTGAGTCCTCTGAGTTATCCAGCCAAGCCCCAGCAGGGCTCCTGTCTGCCTCCAAGTCTCCAGAGAGACTCTGCCTTTGCAGCCAATCTTCAAAGCAGCCCCTCCACTGTTAGCAACACGTCCGACCTCCAGAGACGTTCTTTCATCTCCTCCGTTTTCATACTGTCCACATGTTCTGAGCCTCTTCTCCTCTCTGCTTCCGGGACAACCCCACCATTGTTTTTGTTCTTTTACGTTTCTGCTCTCTGGTTTTCATTTTAGTTCTGGGTAAAAATCTTCTTACCGACTGCTGTTACCGTCAAATCTGAGCTTCTCTTGGTCGACTCTAAATCAACATTATCCAGAACCAACAGTTTCTCTATAACGATCAATAACTCGCCGGTCTCCGTTTCT